TGACAGGTGATTTATTTTTTCCTGTTGGCCAGACTGAGCCCTAAGGAGAACAGGCACCCCTGTGTTTTTTGTTGACGTCAATTACAGTAGTTAGAGAGCAGAACTTGGGTCCCCCTTGGCTTTGTTAAATGAAAAAAAATATACGTTATGTGGTCCCCTGTGCCCTACTTTTGGTGCCCACAGCCAAGACAATTCTAGGCTCAAATTTTGGAATGCGTGAGTGCCGTACTTGAGGTAGGATATAAATCAAATCCATAATAAAACCTCCAGTGCTCAGGTTTAGCTGAGAAATCTGCTTTAGAAACAGACCAGATGAATAAATACAATAGTGGTGTTTACATAAGATCCAGTGCCCAAACAACCTAGGTGACTGGAGACTTCATACAAAATGCTAAGATGTTGGTTTCTCACAACTTCCTCAACCAGAGACAGAGGCAGGCTGCTCCTGGGGAAGGCAATCTCTAGGTGTAATACTGATTCTGCATTCTAGCCCCTAGTGCTCAGCCCCAGTGCCTGGGCTTTCAGCTGATACTGTTGAATGCCGGCTTGCCCTGTAATAAGGCCTTCTTCATCCATGATTTGATAGTGAAAGAGATGGCTGACCTGGTATGTATTATTGCAACCTGCTGTGCATGGGGGATTCCACCTTTTGGAAATGTGCCCACCTGTGTTTTGAGTGTGGCACCAGCTATGATCACAGGGCAGGGATGATAGAGTGGCTATAATCATCCAAGAGACCCTGGTGGCTTTCAGTGCTACTGTGTAGGTTGTGAGACTCTCCTGGTGAGGTTGGGTTCTAGGCATCAGATGGGATTGCTGCTGCTATACTGGCCTTCCTACTTAAGCTGCCTGATGACGTGTCAGGATTGGCAGTGGACTTCCCCAGGCTCATGGTACAGGAGGACTTTAATCTACCTTCCTTGGGCACGGGCTCAAGGGCAACTTGGAATGTCATGGCCACCAAGGCAACCATGGACCTGACCCAGGTATTATGAGTCTGATTTACAGCAGCAGTCACACATTAGATTTGTTTTTTGTCTCAGGCCAGTGGCAAAGTGATCTGTGTGGAGTTTTTCTGGCCCTGGATCCCAGAGAACTCCCTGGTTCTCAAAGGAACTCTGGGAGATGAGCCCCCTAAAGGGAGGAAAACAAACAGTGAACTCGATGGAGTATGGGTAAGAATCTTCATTAAGGATTACCTCATAGCAATTAGAACAGCAACATATAATTATTTTCCACTCTCACTGCTTCTGCAGATGGCTGCTTAGTGACTCTGTTTAGGGTGTCCCAGTTCCTCCTGGGGAAGGAGGGGCTGGAGGAACATCTGCAAGGCTGCTGCAAAGAGTATTTTAGGCAATTGTCAGATAAAGTCACACAGATCCCTTGTGAGTTGGACTCCCTTTGTGCAAAATCTTCGGAGTTGACTGAGGCATAGTCTAGCATGGACAGGTTCAGGCGTTCTGGGAGAAGATAAGTGTCGTTGATCCTGAAGAAGTGGACAGGATCCTTGAGGCTGTAAGTAGTGCATTAGATTTGGGACCCTCCTAGTTTAGGCCTCCCAGGAGATTATGTGTGTGGTTGAATACAGGCAGTCTGTTCACAATCAATCTTATATACCAGTTTTACCCATTCCTGGATCAGGCGGCCTTACGCACAGTCATGCCTTGGTCACAACCCAGTTAAACTATTGCAGTACACTCTTGCTGCCCTTGAAGACCATCCAGAAGCTGCAATTGGTCCAGAATGCACTGATACGGGTAGTTTCGGCTGCACCTCTGTATGCCTATATAACCACACTACTTTGTGATCTGTATCTGTTCCCTGGATGCTTCCAGGTACAGTTCAAGGTGCTGGTTACTACTTATAAAATGGTTCATAGCACTAGGTTATCTCTGATCATCTCATGAGAATCTTGATATTTAAGGTCCTTAATACTTAAAGTCTTTGCTGTCAAACAGCATCACCTATGCAGTGTTGTCCAAACTTGGCCACTTTAAGATGAGTGGCCAAGTTGCATTCCTTCTTTCAAAATGGTTCATAGCACTAGGTTATCTCTGATCATCTCATGAGAATCTTGATATTTAAGGTCCTTAATACTTAAAGTCTTTGCTGTCAAACAGCATCACCTATGCAGTGTTGTCCAAACTTGGCCACTTTAAGATGAGTGGCCAAGTTGCATTCCTTCTTTCAAAATGGTTCATAGCACTAGGTTATCTCTGATCATCTCATGAGAATCTTGATATTTAAGGTCCTTAATACTTAAAGTCTTTGCTGTCAAACAGCATCACC